AAAAAACTTATCTAATTAATGAAGAAACTCTTCTTTATATATTCTTTTCAATAATAGATTGCCTTCAGAACAAGGTAACATCGGCGATCACGAAGTTAGTCCCACTGAAAATAATCTACAAGAAAAGTCGCGACAAAGAAAAAAAAAAGCTAAGAGGTGCGAAAAGGAACACGCGATAGAACGATATGTGTTCTCAAAACTCTGATTCTGATTTTACAGCTCACCAATCAAGGCCATTTCAACATAACGAAACGAACATCGTCTTCCACAGCTCGCTATATCGTATATTTATATCGCTATATCGTTATCTTATAACCTTGCGGGTCTTATATCGCTATATCGTTTTGCGCTTGTTGTCTTTACTCGACGACTTAAATCAGATTTCTGATGCATCGCCTTGAATGAAAGTCGCTGTATCGTCCTGCCGATATATGCGTTAAATCGATATGTCTCGATACATCGATTTATAGCCCAGTCCTACTCACAACTAGTAAAACTGATTGAAAATATATACGAATTATGGTACCACATGGATTCACTTTCATCAGTAAGACAAATGGCAGGCATAGCAAAATGGGGGAGATTTAATCCGGAGGAGGCTGCGTTATGTTAATTGAGATCAATATGCAAAGAGTAGCAATTATAAACTGTCAGTAAAAGTTAAAAAGGAAGCCTTCATCAGTAAGACAAATGGCTGGGATTATAAAATAGAGAAAATTAAAATTTGGCAAAGGTTACGTTACATTAACTGAGATAAAAATGCAGTAAAGAGTAGCAAATTGTTAGGGTATATTTTACTGCTAATAAAATTAGTTTTTTTTTTATATTTAGTATTTAATTACCGTATGAAGATGTTAGCATACATTCCAGGGCATTCCAGAATTATTTATTACTATTAACTGTTTTGTTTTCTTTACTTAGGATTGCAGTCATGCAGTAGTCACAAATTGAATTATTTATATCCTAGTAGCTTCATTAAGAGTAAAGTAATTTGATTACTGCAATCATTTTTAACTGAGACTTTTACAACATTTGATTTGATAGTATTAAATGTTAAATGATAGATAGTATTATTGATTTGATAGTATTAAATGTAATTTTATTAACGGTTGTAGATTCGATCGACAAAAACATATTTAATTAAAATATATTAAAACTTATTATAAACTAACACATTTATGTGTTAGTTTATAATAAGTTTTTCTGCTTTTGATAGATATATTCAAAGGAATTATGTGTTTTTTTTTGTGCGAGCAAATGGAAAAGCCTATGTATGTGAAAAATTTGCTGTTGGTTTGTGACTCTGGTCATGATGCATTTATTGATTAAAAAGCAAAGTTTTAAAAAAACTTCCACTCATATTTTTCACGCATGCCACTCTTGAAAAAAAGCAAAGCTTTTTAATGAGTGGCATGTGTAAAGAAATTAATTATAATTCATTAATGAAGTTTGCCGTCGAACTTTCTCCTTCTGTCAGATCATGGTATTTTAAATATTAAGCTTTAATAATTTTAATCGACTTACAAACTTTGAATACTCCATGGAAGGAATAGAGACCAACATTTTATTTATTTATAAGGAATAGATTTCTGTTCGTTGCACTGAGTCAGCCTCTTTTGAAAATTATAACAAAAATTGTTGTACTTTATTCCTTGCCAAGGAAAAAAAATACTGCAATTTATTTTTATTTATACATTACACGCAGAATGTATAATAAAAATTGTAAAATAACCAGTTTTTCATGATGCTGCTTTTCGATTTTTTAATTTTAAAAGATTCTAATTTTTCTTACAATAAAAAATCCCAATTTTGAACACGTAGGTGATGTGTGATACATTTTTGGTTTAAGTTATTTTATTCAATAAATTGCAATCGGAATATTTAAAGTTTTTGAAATCGAAATATTTAGTAAGAATGTAAAAATTGGTTAAATAAACAAATTAATGGTTTAATAAGATACATTATACGGACATTTAAATAGATATTTGAAATATAATAAAAATGAAGTTTTACATTGCATTAGTATTTAATAACGATTTTTTACCGTCTAACTCCTTTTTAATGTCAATTACCCAAATTTTATTTCAACAATAAAAACGCATTTTTTAAAAATACATTTATTTCCTCTTATCCAGACAGAAATCTTATGAAAAAATAAATAAATAAGCATGGTTTAGATGAAATTCTGACCACCACATGAACTTTTTTTAACCTTCCACCTCAATCTTGAATGCAATCATCAACGGTAAATATATTATGTCAAAACCACCCCTCTATGGACACAAGGACCATTTTCACCTTCCACAAGAGTAGGCCATAGGTAACTCTTGATAGCATCTGACTTCTGGTTGGATGTATGAAAACGCATATGATAGTCACGTCTAAAAGTACGGGTTTCATAATCAATGAGATATGGAGGATTTTGATTGCATAAACACCAAGCCAATCTCACACAATCTTTTGCATACTTGACTAATCCAGAGCATTTTTTCAAGCAGGGATAGTCGTAAAGGGTTGCATAAATCTGCGAGCAAACTTCCTGTAAAAAAGTAGAAGACGATATTTCTTTAATTATTATTACAGAATATTAAACAGAATAAAAACTATTATTACAGAATATTAATTATTATTACAGAACATTATAAAGAATAAAATTATTATTATATAATATTAAACAGAATAATAAGTATTATTACAGAATATTAATTATTATTACAGAATATTAATTATTATTACAGAATATTAAACAGAATAAAATTATTATTACAGAATATTAGACAGAATAAAATTATTATTACAGAATATTAATTATTATTACAGAATATCAGTTTTTTTTCTCCATGAAATATATAAAGAACTTGGAAGAAGGCGCTAAATAAAATTTCTGAAAAAAAATTAAGATTTCTCGGGAATAGATCTTGTTTCATTTATATTTAACTAAAATATTTCAAAAATATTTTCTAAAATTCTCACGATGCTATTCTTTAAGAACTAAGTTTAATGCAGTTTTCAGTTCATGAAGTTTCCCAACTTAAAAGTTTTTAATCTATTTGAAAATCAGGACAGAAACTAACTTCTCCTATGACTGTCCACGCGCTGCTGTTTAAAGCACGTGATGCGCTGTCATACATAGAGAGTTCTGCTCTGCGCCACTTGTAGCCCATTTCGATCGTCAATAATATACCAAAATATACAGTATTTAAACCATTCATATAGTAAATTTTCCCTTGAGGCAACAGTTTACCAAAATTCTGATTTTCAAAATTATAATTTTGGATCGTCCTAACTGCCAACAATTTACCACAGAAAATATACATTAAAACGGGAAAGTAATAATCGCAAATTTCAATTTATTTACTTTCAACCCGGTGTTTTTCTTTAATTTTTTGAAAGAATGTAAAAAAAATCAGTATCATTCAATTTAATTCAAATTCAGTGACTTTTGTTACTCTTCCAACATGTGGCACTACCACGACACATGACCACACATTCAGTAATGATTACGAACTGAAAAATTAATTTACCCAAATAAATGGTTTTTATGTAACGCTATCCCCGATACTTTAAGTTAGCATGATAAAATTATCAGTTGTTAGTAAATTTTACCTCATTTACTACCAAACATATGGTAAAAGAAAATAATCCATATTTTAAGAGAAACCATATTATCTTTTTAATTTTACTAAAGCCAGAAACACGGAAAATAGATGAAGGTATCAAGTGACAATCTTTGAGGGATTTTGGAGTGCTACAAGGCAAATTTTTTTTTTAACTAACACTCGACAAGTAACCTTAGAAAAACAGCCTTTTGGTAAAAAATTATAATAACAAGAGTGCGAACGTTATGACGTGAATTATAAAAAGTAGTTTTATGTTTAAATATAATTTGAAGTATATTTATAAAAAAACAACAGAGACAAATAGATCCTTTTTGATTGAGTATGTCACGTCAACATAGGGAAGTTTGAAACTCATTACTAAATTAACCCATTTTGATCTAGCGTGACATATACGTCACGGGAAATGTGAGAATTCTTCTGCTTTGATGAAGAGCTGTTTTCACATCTAGCAAATGTTTCTTATTCTTTTCAAAACTCAAGTAGTAGCTAAGAGAAGAAAATATTCATTTAGTTAAGAAGAACAATCACTTTATTAATCGGAGTTTTTTTTGTTTCACGGCAGATGAAAAAATTCATGCGTTTGTGGGTTAACTATGATAAATGTTTCTTTTGTTCCGACGAATACATTGCTATTTTCCTCATTTATTTTGTTTTTCCATCGACCGAATCATTTGTTCTATTTCGTTTCGAAATTTAAAAAAAGTGCAACAGTAGCTATTTAAGTTATTAACTCGCAATCTTTAAAACCTTTTATTAGTTAAAAAAAAGTAACTGAATGCTAGTAATGAACTTACATTCACATTTTTCGTTAAATCAAAAGTTTCCGATGTTTTCCTTAGGTATACAGTCACACAGGTTTCTATATCCTTCAAAGCAGGATCTTGTTCAGTTGATTCATTGACTTGCAAAAGTGTAAAGATTTCTTCTCTCAAGCTTGAAAGGGATGATTGAATTGATCGAAATGACAACTGAAAAATAAAAAAAGTCAGATATACACTTATCTAAATGTAGAAAAAGTTTAACCGTTCATTGTATCCCCCTAATTAAAATAAGGGTGCCTTCTGCAGGTTTGCTTACCGTCCTTTCAAAATATATTCTAATAGTAATTTCTTCAATGGAAATTGAAATTTCTTCTAAAATTACAACAAATGTAAATAAAATAATAATTTTTTAAATAAATGTGAAAAAGATTTTTATTATAAGAAAAAAATTAAAAAGCTCTCTTTTCTACAAGCTTATAAAATTTTATTTGTTTGAATTTAAATTATTCTTACAATACTTATTGCCCAGCAATTGTATTGGTTATTTTTAGTTTCAACTTTTTCGTCTAGGTTCTTCCTCTTTTCCCAGTTTCTTTCTATTATTTCTACTTTGTTCCATTATCTTGAAGAAAAAAAAAGCGTTTTTTTCCAGAAGAAACCCCAATCCTAATTAATACAAACACAGAGAAAAAAATCTGGTAAAATTATTGCACTGTATATTAATAACACAATTCTGGTAAAAATCAAACAAAGATGAGTCCGGCTATAAAAGCTAAAATTTATGGCATTTAAACTATTCCTTTGGCAGTTTTTCTATTTATATAGAAAGCAGTTTACCGGAAATTCTAGTTTTCAAAATTATAGTTCTTATTTATACACATTTAGCAGAAAACACAAAACTGAAAAATTTATCCTCATAAATGGTTTTAATGCCATGCTCAAAGGTATCACGATGATTAATAATTTTGTCCCCAATAACCTAATTCTATAACTTATTATAAAATGATACTTTATTTTTAATATTTCCAAAATCATTACTAAAGAGCTTAAGAAAAAACTACCGAGCTTTTTTGTGTTACCATAGAACCAGAAGCCGGTAAAAGTCAGTATACTCTGGTAGTTTTGATCATATTGTTTTTCTCAATATACATTAGCTGTTTAAATTAAGAATATTATATATAAACTACTGAATTTCCTTAAAAATTACATGATGGATAATGTTTATTCGTTATGTATTATTATTCCAAGTTTTAGATTCGTCAAAAACATTTTCATACAATATCTAAAAATTTCTCTTTGTTTTGACACTTTCCTTAATTAGAAAATATTCGAAATAATAAAAGAAATTTTGCGTAGGCAGTTAGCAAAATATCATAACATTCCTTAGATTTTTCTCACTGTGATAGTTTAGCAATGCTTAAAGAGAGCAATCCCATGATCGAGTATAATACACAAATAGAAAATTACATTAGGAAACTAAATTTATTATAAAGGAATTAAACTTGGCAACTACATACTTAAAATTAGTTCAAATTTTCAATGAAATCTAAAGAGAATTACATTTCATTAATTAAAATTTTAGGAGACATAGAATATATACAAATGTTTGCTTTACCGATTCGTAATACTTTCTAAATTCTACTTAATTAGGCAATTTTGAGAGATGAATATGCTTTGATAATTTTCATAAAAGTTAATTAAAACCCCATGATTTTGATTGAATGTACGTAATAAACAAAATGTAGAAATTAATTAAATTATATAAGTTAATTTAAAAATAGACTTTTTTAATTGAAACATTCTAGAAATTTTTAAAAATGAAATGGAATAAAATTAAAAAGGATACAAGTTTAAAATGGGTGTTGCGATTTATTAATATTAAAAGCATAAGAGTAAGTTGAGCATAACAGTAATCAATGCTCAATTTATTAATTGAAACTTTATATAGTATGTTGCATTTAAAATTGACACTATTAGAAGTTTTGGCACCATAATATCGTTTTGATTAGCTTCAACCTCAATATGATGCTAAGTTGAATCAAATTATCATACGTCTTGAACTTGATTACACAATGGTAACTTTTAACTTGATCTGAAGCATTTGGCTAATGTAACTTTTTATTAAGCTTGTAGCTTAATTTACACCGTATTATAGTTCTGTGTGTTCACCGTATTATATTATGTCGAACGTATTTTAATGATATCAACGTATGTTCATCGTACATGTTCAACGCATTTATTTTTCATATACATAACGATAAGTGTTTTTTTAGTTACAGTAAATGGAAGATATAGATAAATTTATATTTCCTTTTATGAATTTATTCCTCTTATAGCATGGATATGTAGATGTATATGGAAAAAATATATGTGAAATCTTGGATGGAGAAAATCAATGTCGGCGAGTTAATACAATAACCTTGAAGGTAATACCTTGCAATTTAACGAATAATCAGAAGTGTGGAAGTTTAATATTCATTATTCTACTTTAAGCACCTCATATAATCTTTAATGCAGTTTTTAATTTTTTTAAGGCAGAAAAAAATATGTCGACTTTACATTTTTGTTGAAATATTTTTATAACTTAAAAAGTGCATTTTATAACTCGAATAATTTTTAAAGTCCTTCAAATTTTTGTGAAATGTGAGTTTCACGCTGCTCAACATTCTATCAACAAATTTGATATCAGAATCAAAATTCAAAGCTTGACTAATATTTATTCTATGATTTATAATACAACATAAATTCGAGTACTATTAAAATATTCAAAGTAGATTTTAAATTACTTTTGTTTCTTTTTTAAGATTTATAGCGTGAATAAATTTAAAAAAAAAAAATCATCCGAAGAAACACAAAAAATAACTAATTAAATTAAATTAAATTAAATTAAATTAAATTAAATTAAATTAAATTAAACTAAACTTATTACACTGAATAACTTTTGATCTAACGATCGGATCTTCATGTCCTAGGACTCAATCTTAATGGTTCGAAGGGGTGACCTCAAATATGCCAATTAATAAGAGCAGGCGGTATTTTAAGATGGCACTTTAATCAGGCATAAAAACGGACTTTCTCTTAATAAACTTACCTTTTTTTCAGACGGATTCGAATTTTTGATCCCCAAAATATAGGGGGTAGACATAATCTGGAAAATAGTTTGGTCAGGTGAGCAGTACAAAATTTGGACCCTTTAATGGTTATTTTACTTTTTGTGTATTTAGCCATTACCCGATAATTCTCAAGAGAATTGTAAAATTTTGACACACAATTATTCAATTTGTTTATCCGAAGATAATTCAAAGCAAAAAGTAATTTTTAATATTCATCTATATCTCTTGGCATTTCCGGCAAAATTAAATTCCTTGTACACTTTAGCATCTAAATAGAGTCTCGGTGCTGCCATCTAGTGTGGCAGAAACTAGACGTCCAAATTAACAAGACTAACGGTATCTCACCCATTGTGGTGGTCCTGAAAGAGTGGATACCACCTCTGGAGAACGCACTAGGTCTGCTCATCGGCAAGACCGATTGTGCAGCTCATTGGGCGAAAAAAAAATATTCATCTATATTTAAAAAGAAATTTTTTTTTATTAATAATGCTCAAAAAATTTTGAACTGAAAGGTATACAAGTTTTTTTAATCATTTTCAAGAGTTTAGTTTTATATGACAAAATATAAAAAGCCGAAAATTGTCGAAAAGTTTCTGTGAAATCGAATTTTAAAAATTTGGATAGTTACCTAAAATAGATGCATGAGGATTAAAATGCTTTCGAAAACGTTTAAAATAGTCTCTAAATCCTCAAATACAATCAGTTTTTCTTATATTTATAATGACGGGAGAGATGAACTCCTACCTCACTAAATAATGTCTTTGCTGCTCTGAAAAAAAAAGTAGGGTCAAAACTACCAGAATATTTGTAAAATTCACCGTGTACGGGAACACCAAAAGGTACGGTAGTTTTTACCTAATCGCTTTGGTAATAATTTTGGTAAAATTAACAATAAAATTAGAATTCATAATAAATGACAAAAATTAGTAAATGCGATAAAATTTGATAATTTTATCATGATACCTTAGAGCAAGGCATAAAAACCATTTAATGGATTAAAGTTACTTTTCAGTTTTACATTTTTTACTAAATCTGTGTTAATAAGAACTGTAATTTTAAAAACCAGAATTTCCGGTTAACCGTTACCATGTGTATGGAAAAATTACCAAATGATTGTTTAAATACTGTATAGTTTGGTTTCAAGAACCAAATTATAGTTTTTTTTTTCTCCACTCATTACATACTGTAATTTTACCAAAGTAATTTTTCTCTGTTTGGCTAGGTCTTGGTGCTTGGAATTAAAAATAGGATTAAAAGTTTGGTGATACCTGCTCTATATTTACAACTGACCATTTCATATTTTTAAACTCAAAAATTAAAGTTTTTTCAGAATGCCACTCAATTTTCATCAAGTTTTTCAATTATGATATATTAATAAGTAGAGCCCGGATTTTGATGACCTAAAAAATCTCAATTAATGCCCGTAAAAAGTGCAAAAAATGCCCTTATGAACTGCAAAAAATGCCCTTAAAATGCGAAAATTGCGCTAAANGATATATTAATAAGTATAAGAGCCGTGGTGGCTCAGGGGATAGAGCGTTCGCTTTCCATTGAGGTGAACCGGGTCCGAATCGATGGCTGGTCGATGCGAATTCCGCACACGGCTAGCACTGACCACAGTGCTGATGTGAAACATCCTCAGTGGTAAACGGATTATGAGTTAGAGTCCCTTCCATGCAGCGCAAATGCTGGTTAGTTCCATCAAAAAGTCCTCCACAAAGGTAAATTTCTCCCAAGATTGAATCTAGGAGCTCCCTTGCCTTCTTTATTTTGTTCTAAATTGCAAGGCTACGGAGTTGAACATTAATGGTCATAAGCCCAAAACTGGGCCGGCTGTTAAATGACGGTTATAAAACAAGTATAAGAAATTCCAACTGATATTCGATATTAAATTCAGAATACAAAAACTATTATAAAATTGAGCAAATAAACGAGTCATACTACTATAACTGAAAACAAAATTTTTGTTTTCAACTCATCAGCATTCTTTAATGGCTCTAAGGCATCCAATGCATCCAATGTATCTACTCTGGCCTGAGCATACAAACTACCATATTGTCGAACCAGGGCAGATGGTCGTCTTTCTCCAAGAGAAACGTTTTCAAATTTGGAACCTCGTTCAAGCATTTTTTGAGCTTGCTCTGCTAACCTAAAATAGCATCAAGAAACGAAGTGAATGTGGGCATGAATTCTGAACAATAAAAAAATATCAGTTTGAATTGTTCTAAATAACTTATTACCAGTGCCTCTCTAGAAAAATTACAAGACTGAACTTATTTTTTTGGTGGATTAGCACAATCTATAACTGTTTAGAATTTTTGTGAAATTAATAGCTTGCTTTCCATGAGAATGGCACACAAATTATATCAATGAGCAATTATTTCTTCTAAAGACAAAATTTGTATTTTTCTTTATTTTATTGGTAAACTTTTGACAGCAAAAAAAAAAGAAGAAAAAAAAGCTGATCTTATATATTTTTTTACACTAATTGCTGAATTACACCGCTAACTTTTTCTTATAGCTATTCATATTTTCTACTTATTTCACACTTCATAATCATCAATGCTTTGTCTTAGATCTATGAATTTGATATTTTAATTTTTTTTTTAAAACTAACTTGTATCTCAAAGTATCTCAAAATGTTGGGAAAAATAATACAAACTCAAGCGGATTCAGGTATAACAAGATTAATTTTGTTTAGACAAGTAGATGCTGAGATTAAGTCAATTCTATTCTTTTTTTTTTTATGTGAGCTGACATCATTATTTAATCATTTATCAATAATTAATGAAAACAACAATTCTTTCATAAAAAGTAATAATTTTTTTGTTTATTTCAACAAGAAATAATTGTTACTTTTTTTTCTAAAGAAAAAGCAAAAGTTAATTTATAAATAAAAACTTAATTGGAGAAACAAATTGAAAATAAATATTTATTTGAAGACAGAAAATCAGTTCTCTCATCTTTTCTTAAAACTGATTTCAGTACTCAAGACTGAAGAGTGGCACCTATGTATAACCAAATAACCGAAATCTTAAAATTTGCTGAACAATTTTCATGGTTAATTAGGTAAAAGTTATTTAATGATTTTTTATTTATTCTTAGTTGCATGTAGAAAACCTGTAAACACTAACCTAAGATATAGTTTCAGAATTTCCAAAGAAATCAAGAGAAAATCAAACAGATTAGGCGAAATAAATAAATGTTAAAATGAGGAAAAAAATTCAATAATAAAGAAATTTCTTAGTAATTGTCTCATTGAACTAATAGTATGATATATTTTTTTTAATTTGAGCCGCGATAGCTCAGGGTATAGAGCATTCGCCTTCCAATGAGGTGAACCGGGTTCGAATCCCAGCGATACGAATTCCACATCTGGCTTGCCCCGACCACAGTGCTGACGTGAAATATTCTCAATGGAAGACGGATCATGGCTTAGAGTACCCTTTCCATCTGGCTAACCGTGGGAGGTTCTCGTGGTCTTCCTCGCCATGTAACGCAAATGCGGGTTAGTTCCATCAATAAGTCTTCCACGAAGGCAAATTTCCCCCAATACTTGATCCAGGATTTCCTTTGTCTTCTGGATTGGGTTCACATTACAAGGCTACGTAACTGAACATTAGTAGTCGTAAATCCAAAATTTGGGTTGACTGTTCAACGACGGTTACAAAATAAAAATATTTTTTAATTTAATTCCCCTTTCACTTAAAAGAAATTCTATTTTCAATTGATCAGCAACAAATCTCTAAATTTAATTTGAATCATATCTTGCTCATTTCTTTTTACATGTTAATTTTTTAAAGGAGTACTTTTAAAAAACATTTCTCCCCCGTTATAGTTTAAGATCTCCATTTTTAGTTAATAATTCAAAATTAAAATTAATTTGCAAACTCGAACCACAAATATTAAAAGTGTCAGCATTTAGCGTCATTACAGAATGGCAATTTTCAGGACTGATAGCAATCTTCAAAAATTTCAATAAAATATTCTTTAAAAATGTTATTCAATAAAAATAATAAAAAAACAAACAAAAATAATAAAATAATATTCTTTAAAAATACATGCATACATGATTCTGACTTATAATTTTAAGGGGAATATATCACGTATTTAGCCTCCGTTAAAAAATTAAATGGAGCAGGCTCTAAATTGTTTTTTTTTTCTTTCTTAAGGCTAGAGAATTCGCTCATATATGAGCATTTTAATTTGTCATTTATAAGTATACCTTCCTACAAAAACAAAATATGCCCCCTCCACTAACTATTTTAAAACTTATTTTCGCACTTTTAACTTTCATTTAAATTGTAATTAACTTGTTATCATTTAAATTGTATATTTAAATCAGTTAAGTTCTTTTTCTTGTGTTTGTTAAAGAAGGTGATGAGTTTAAAGGAAAAAAAATTGCTAAACAAAAAATAAATAGAAACGGAAAAGAAAATTGTTCTTTCATTGATCAAATTTTATTACAGTTTAGCAATCCTAGAATATAAATTTAAACTATCATATTGACGCTTTAAAAATTAACATAAATATAGCCGTTTTAAAAAAATAAAAATAAAAGCGAACACTAACAGTTCAACACGAAGGTGGTGCTCGAATTTCAAATTCAATTCGAGATCAAAATTATTTAACTGGTAGGAGTAATTAGACAAAAAAGTATTTATAAAATTGATCTGTTTTATTTAATGTCGGGAGTTAGAAAGTGCCGTTTATGAATTAACTTTTGACGCAGAAGAAATGCCGGCATCTGATAATGTCATTTTGATGAACGTTTTCATATAGTTTAATCCAAATGAATTAATCTGTTAGGGTCTATTTGTGCTATTATGTTTATATTTGAATTTATATTGTAATTTTGAATTCATATAAGAATGATTTTATAATTCTGAATATGAACAATGTGTATGCGCAGGTTTTACATCCGACCAATCAGTGACATTCAAGAACTAGGATAGAGTCGACGAATCATCTAATTTCTTAGAAAGGGAAATTCCTCCAAGTTCTCAGATTTAAGAACTTAGACCGTATAAATAGGCCTCTAGGGTGCGTTGTAGCTCTAGATAATCAAAACTAATGCAAGATGAGCGAAGCCTAAGATATATTTACAAAAATAAAAGAAATAAAAAACTCCAATAACTGCTAGAATTACAGCCACTTCCTTTAACTATTCCAATAAGAATTCTTCGATTAAGGAAAATAGTGGAGTTACTTTGAAAAACATATCCTTTGAAAAAATCATGAGCAATAATAGTTCATAGCTATTTAATTCATAAGGATATTCAACATATTTTACGATTTATAATTCTGATGACTTAATATGTTTATCAATAGTAATATGTTTATAAATTGTAATCAAAAATAGTTTGCATAAAATTTATAAATCTAAATAATTGCAACGTTATCTAATTTTTTGAGAAAAAAATGCTTAACGTTCACTTGCCCATAAATAACCATATTTAAACAGAAGTTTGGGGTGATATTTAAGAGTCAAATTTTGTTCTGATTTAAAGTCCAAGATTCGATTTTTTGTTTTGTTTCTACATCAATTCATCTGTGTGTAGCGTCTTTTTTTCTCTTCCTCTAACGGCTTCTTTTTCACAAGAAAGAAAAAAACTGGTTTTGCATGGGTTTCATTATTGGGATCTATTTTTTCAGAAGCAAGGTAGTTCTATCTACCAAAAAATATTTACGAAATGAATATTTATGTTTGGATAAGAAGTCATTGCGCATGGCTTTTTAAAGGTGGTGTGATCAGTCACAAAAAGAAATATGCACTTGTTAGGAACTATCACCTTTTTGAACGGAATTTTGGAAAGATTTATTAATTGCGGTAGATTACTAGCTAAGTCTTGCCAACTTCTGGGCAGCGGCCCACCAGAAATTACAAAAAAAAGTAAATAAAAAAATCACAGAATGCAACTAACTCGAAGGATATAACTCGCAGCCACCACCGGCTACACCTCTACATGTTTTTTTTTAATTTCTTTTTTAAATTTTTTTAAAAATTTTTTTTGAAATTTTGAAATTTTTTCTTAAATTACAAGTTAAAATTCTATTTGGCACCTTGGCAATTTTAGCTGGCAAGACAGATCACGATACAGAAATATCCCTGGAGTATAAATGGGTACTTCATCCCATCTTTTCAAAAATTCGATATACACTTTATCCCATAATTTTCAATACACCAACTGTTTCTTCATTTATCTACCCACTGTAGGGATGAAGGGCTGAGTCAACCTTGCCCGGTCCGAGAATCGAACCATATACTTGTGGCACGGCAGCGTGAAGCGCTACCGCTCAGCCACCGGCATGCTCAGTACCAAGCATGCTTGGGAACTAAACACTGGGGATTCCGCGTTCGGCTGACCACCTGACCGGAACATCTGCTCCTGCACCCCAGAACCCAAGGTTAAGAAAACTGAGATGGGCACAGTAGGCCTTGGTCCTCTAGTTGCGCCGCTGAGTTTAGTTTTAACTGTTTTTTGAGGTTTTGTTTTAAATGCACAAAGTTTTTAACTTTTACAGAGATTTAATCTTTATAAAAGTAAAGAAATACATTTCTTTCATACGTAATTTAGCATTTATAATTTAGCATTTAGCATAATTTAACATTTTTTTGTTTTAAATCTTCCCTTATTTAAAGTAATCGCGCTACACACTCCAGGCATTTCATTGGTTAATTAGTCCAAAATTTCGGCTCCAATGCTATTAAAAGAGTATTGAATTACCTATAACAGATGACTTCGGCTTGCAATAATTATATCTCTGGTGGGCTTGTACAAATGTTTCGCATAATTTGTATTTTGAATAGAATGACGTAATAATCAAAGCCTACTTTAAATTTTTCTTCTTGGATAACGTTCTACACTGAGAAAAAAAGTATGGTCAAAATTACCAGAATATGGTAAAATTTACAGTATTTACGGATATATGGGAACACCAAAAAGCACGTTAATTTTTACCGAAGCGCTTTAGTATTGATTTTGGTAAAATTAACAATTTGGTTTTATAATTTGTCAAAAAATGTGGTAAAACTTGGTAGTCTTAATATGATGCCTTAGAGCACGGAATAAAAATTTTAGTTGGATAAATTTACTTTCTAGTCTCCAGAATTTCCTGTAAAGCTTTACCATGGAAAAATGTACGGAAAAATTATCAAATGAATGGTTTAAATATCATATATTTTGATTTTATTACCAGAAATTTGTTTTTTTTTTCACCAAAAAAAAATCATTATCACAAAGTACGGTAATTTTACAAGATTTTTTTTTCTCAGAGTAGAAAGATATTTTAAACTATTTTTACGTCGAATGTTAGATACATAAATAAATAGAAATATGAGAATTTTACAGTAAAGTGCAGTAGTTTACAGCTTTTAATGAAAATTGAAACAAAAAACTAGAGCGTATTGAAAGAGATGAAAGGTGGTAGTATAGACAGCCATTGCTTAAATTTAGTTCTATTTCTGGGTAATAGAAAACGTTTTTGCTGTCAAAGTTTAGAGAGAGATGAATACTTACCTGCACTTAAGTTTTTGTTCACGTTCTTGTAAATTGGTGATTGTCACTTTTGCATAATCTAGTTCACTTCTGAGAGTTTCAATTTCTTTTTGCAATGTTGAAACTTGCCAATAGTTGACGGCATGTTCTGATGGAATGGATGAATGTGCGTCAGGAACATATATAGAGATTGAGCAATCCGGCTTGCAGGTAGCAGATGAATTAAAAGGATCTGCAATAGATAAAATATGTTTGATGATGTGTTCTTATGTGAAGAAACAAGCTCTCGTAACAAGCTACACACATAGCCTTTACTTTAAATAAATATATAAGGATATCTGTAATAATCACCCTTAGAATCTTTTTTGTAAAAAACGGATATTATGAAATAAAAAAATATACTAAAGGGTATAAAAATTACTTTAACTAGGAAAAAAAACAAACAAAATGCAGTCAAAATAACAAATCACTACTAAGAAAAGTAGGACTTAAAATATAAAAATAAAATATAAAATTGTCAGTGGAAATACAAAGAAATAGAAAGGTTATTGTTTGAAACACTTTCCTGTTTTATCAGTATTAACTGATTTATTAAATGAAAAATTACCAGTGTGGCACTAACCAGCATTAACGAGTAGTAGTAAATTTGTAATCCTAATAATATTTCAAACCTAGTCGTTTAGAATAAATATCAATTAAACTACTAATTTCTATATTAAGTATTTTTACACTCATCATACAATCCTAAGCACTTTTAAATTAAATAATAATTGGTCCAAGTTTTCAAGACAATTTATCTTTGTTAAAGACTTCTTCAGCGTGGCAACTGTAAAAAAAGTATACATAAAAAATTTAAGCGCAAGGGAAATATTTACCTTAACTCTTATAGAATAATTTTATTACTATGTTACTTGAATTATTAAACAGTACTTGAAGTTAAATTTTGAAAATTGAAGTAATACTTATTAATTAGTGAAATCTCCACTTCCAGAGAAAAATAAAGTATTCAAAATCAATTAATTAAAAAAGCAAAATAAGAAAATGGAGTAACTGGACTCTAGAGAAAATAAAGAGAAAAAAATGAGAGAGAAAAATAAAGAGAAAAAGAAAGAGAAAAACTCACCCAAATTATAATTAAGCAATATACATTGTCGCAATCATTAGAAAATCAGGAATGTGTGCAAATTAATTTTACAACAAAATTAGAATTTAGCTGCCTAAATTCAAATATCATATATTTGTAGAAATGCCTGTTTTCAAACTAAGAGTTTAATAGTCATGGATTCATTAGGATGACGGAAACTTCCCTCATCATTGCTCATCATCAGAACGGAAAAATTGGAAGAATCAATGATAATAAACAAGTAAATAAATAATTAAATAATTAAATAATTAAATAATTAAATAATTAAATAAATCCCTGGAGTATAAATNGTTAGCTTGTTTTTTATGGTTATTAATTGTGTTTTTAGTATTAATTTGTAATTTTTTTTATCAATAATTGTTTATTATTTTGTTTGTTTTCGTGAACTTTAATTTAATTGCTAGATATGCTTCATAGCGTAATAACATTTATGTAATAACAATTCATAGTGTAACAACAATTGTGATCGGTGGAGTGCCCAAAATATTGTGTCGCGTGCCATAAATGGCACGTGTGCCATTGGTTCGCCATCCCTGGTATAGGCGATCGAATCAATGCCCATCTCGAAAAACAATCTTTCTTAATTCTTATGATACCATAAACCAGTTCTGTAGATAGAAAGATGAAAATTCACAAATGGTGTTCACGTTCATACATTATATGTTCATGCACTCATTTCATGTTCATGCATTGTACAGTGTTGTAGAGGGTAGGAAACGCGTATGAACGTATTTGCGTTGACCATTTTCTTATTCAAAGCATTTCCTTGTGTTGAAAAAGTTTGTTAAAAAGAATTCCACAATACTAGTAATTAGAAATTAATCTTTATTTTAGAAAAGTAACTCATCTGTTCAAAAATATGAAACGTGTTTGAAATGTTAGAGTTACTCTTTAAGTATGAATAATAAACTTACTATTCGGATTCCGATTCATAGTTTTTGGCTGCGGCTGTTGTTTAATACGAGATGATCTTCCACTTTCACAGGATCGATTATCAGGATTGCTGCTTCCAGCACTATTCCGGCTGTGGAGTCGCACTAAAACAGGAAGAGGTACTTATACTTACTTATTAGAGGTACTTATTAAATTAGAGATACTTATTTGTTAAAAGTAAGCTAATGTTCGGAACAATGTATTTTAAAAATGAATATTTAAAATAAACAGTGCTAAAAATTTCTCAGAAAAAATAGTTAAATAACAATTATTTAATTGCTATTTTGCCATATTCAATCATCAAATAACCATAAAAATATAGTATTTAAACTATTGACTGTGAGAAAAATCCTTTATCTAATATGGTTAATCATATTCGTCAACTAGCTCCACCTTATGAAGCCTTTTATTTTCTTGCTTTTCGGTGTATACTGTAGCCTAGATGGTTAATCTGTAATTCTCATGACCGGCTAAACAGGATTTCGAACCCCAGCTTTGACACCAAATAATTTCTTTCCTTCCTTCAACTTATGAAGAGTTTCCAACGTCCTGCACACCCTAATTAGTGACTCTGGAGTATTGGAATACGAAACTCTCATTCATGTAATGGCAGCACCAGAGACCTGCTTAGCACAAAAACGTATAATATTTCCCATCTCTCACGATAGATGACACCACCAAATAAACTAAGTAAGCCACATTCCACAGTTCATTTGACAAAACACAACCCAATCGCAACGTAATTCCAATGTTCAGTAAAATTTAATTTTTACGGTTTCGAAACCATGTTGTAAATGGCAAAAAAATGTATAATTTTGTAATCACTGCTTCGTATCCATACCAGTTTGAAAACGGTTTAAAAGCCTTAAAGATGAAGAATTGTTCATAACTATAAACTTTATCGATAATCTGACAGAACTGCTGTCTGTTATTTTATCGTAATTTTAAAATGAAAATTTAAACAGTGAAGAATTTGGGGCAATATAATGATAAATCACATTTTCAAAATGTCCAAGATATCATTTTGGGATAAAAACACTACGATTTCTCTGCACTTTGTAAAAAATGGGTTATTAAATATACTAATTCATGATAATTTTTTCATTTTTGACAAAACCATTTCCTGGGAAATGTCTTGCGTGAACATCTAGTCAAATTTAAGAAACTACTATCTTCTTTTGTTTGAGGATGCAAATTTTGTCAAAAGCAATAGGTTTAATGGTTTTCACATTTAGCGATCAGCACAATTTATTAGGAAATATAACTTAAAATGAAACCAGTAAAACGATATCTGCACGGTTTAGCTTTAAACCGTTTTTTGTGAATGTGGAAAAGTCACAGGGCATAATTTCTATTTATAACTCATGCAATATATCTGTACAAGCCATTGCGAAAATATCTTCATATCTGAGCTCATTGTAAGATTCGTGAAACATTAATATTGGTTATTTTCTAAGTTTAAGATGTAAAGCGCTAATACTAACCTTAATATGTATTTTTAGAATTCTTATCATAAATAAGTGAAAACAAAGAATATACAGAGGGGATTGCAACTTAGTATTTAAAAGTACTTAGTACTTAGTAGAAAAAATATAAACGCTTTCAAAATCTGACAAATAACAGTACAGAAGGGTGAACATAATAAACAACAAGACTGGTTTGTTGCAAGAGAAAAAAGAGAGGAATTGAAAGATTAATCGAACCTTTAATTAAACCTGTTTTGATGCTTATTAGATAGGGGAGAGAGGGGTCAATTGTAACAGGGTACGATTGTAACAGAGCAAAAATTTCGAGTGTCGGGTTCTAGATTTGGTTCCTAGGTGGCGCACAAGGTGTATTTAATAAATCTACATGTACACCTCTGTTGGCAACCATTTTTATGAACTTTTGAAAGAGTTACATCACAAAAGATATTTTCACGCTACGTAAGTACTTTTTTTGGTATTAGAATATTATATTGTAACAAAGTAGTTTTGCTTAAACAAATATAAATTATTAACCGAATATGTAAGTGGACACCTTAATTAACATTTCAATGAAAAAAAATAGTTTTGTTAATTAACTAGCATTGTTTTTAACAAATGAAGCTGAAATGGCGTCTTGGGGACAATTGTAACAATAAGTAAAGGGACGATTGTAACAGCTGAAAATAAATAATCTTATGTTTACAAACCATTACTTAACTCTTTAAGAACCACCAATAGTTTCCTATATCATTTATATTATGTTGCATGTGCATTATTTTATTTGTCACCTTTCACAGCATAAATTAAAATTTTTAACCCCTTAAAGTTAAAAGTTTAACCCTTTAGGTCTCTGCTCATTATTATTTTTACTCCTAAAATATCACTACTATTTTGATCAATAAAAAAATATATCACAACTATGATAATATGTATAATTAACTATGTTTTAGTTGAATTTATGAACTGTTACAATTGACCTCGTAAGTGGGGATAATTGTAACAAGTGCACGACTGTCAAAAATTGTTAATAACTAATATAATAACATTTAAAATAAGGTATTTTTTTTCTAGTAGAGGATAGCTACTTTAGTCGTCTGTGAATTAATACTAATAATCTATTGGATTTTTCGTTAGTTAAAAATAGTTAAATAAAAAATGTTACAACTGACCCCACTCTCCCCTACGCCTTCCTCTGTTGTAATTTGTCAGTTTTGGATAGCGTTTTTGTTTTTTCCTGGCTTAAAAATTAATTAGCGACCACCAATGTGTACACAATTTCGTTTTAATTATTGATATTGATTCTTAAAATACATATAAAAAGAGGTTTTTATGGAAAACCCTGTATATACTACAAAAGATTAAGTTATCGATACTCTGTTTCAACGTTAAACAGCACAGTAAAAAATAGATACTTAAATTTCACGAAACTTTCTTCGTTTTTAACGAAGGTATATGCTATTGACGATTGGTTTCCTGGTATATGCTCCGAGCAAAAATTTTGTCCAAGGACGAAATAACTATCTTCTTTAAGGAAACAAATTTCTTCAAAAGTAAAGAAATATTTCGCTATTCTACTTTCTATTGTCTTTTTTATATCTAATTTCGTCATTCTTGTTGACAATCTCCCCCAATGCACTGCGGTGAGGTTCAAAAAAGAAACATTTTCGTCATATATTTCAGATTTCATGACGAAATGATTCTCAAAATTATGGATTCAAATTATAGACTCAAGGATCGCTGAATCGTCAAAATTGAGAATTTTGCTTTTGAGAGTGTGATTTTGAGAGATCATGAGAATTATGTTAAAAACTTTTGAGATTCCATGTTTCGTAAAAACTCCTTTCTAGAAAAAAAAATAATTTGAATTCTAATTATTTTTTTATCAAATTAAATACAATTCTGTTTAATTGCTTGTTTATGTAAATTGCCTTTTGTCAATATGAAGTAATATTTATTTTTGTTGAGAAGTTTCATAATCATTGAAAATATCGCTTTGAAATTTTACATAAGCATTTCAAAATGTTATAAAAGCTTGCTGTATATTTTACAGTTACAACATTTAAAATTTTACATTTGTCGAAATTTATTATTAAATTATGAAATAAACTGTAAAGAGTAAAATCTAGCATATGTTTTCTAATATAAAATGCATATGAAATACCTCACTGGCATTAGTGTTTAATTTATAAACTTTTTTTTTACAAAAATAATGTCTTTAACTCGTCAACAAAGATATTTTTTCAAAATGTGATTAAGCCTACAAAGGTAGCGTTGTTTATCGATTTTAGTTGAAAAAATTTAACAATTTTTCAAATTACCAAATAATAATACTTATCATAATTTGTAATAAAAACTTTTTGGAAAAAAATTTATAAATAGTTATTTAAAAACAAATTAACTAAATATGATATAAAACCTATTTATAACAGAACCAGGTGTCTTATTCTCATATGAACTGTATTGCACTAGGAAAAGTATGAAACTAATCTAAAAAAATGTTGAAGGTGAGGAGTGTATAACAAACCATAATTTTTAATAATTCAGAATCGACTGATTGAGTGGCATGAGTCGCCTCTAAAAAATTTTATAAAAGATTTTTGATAAATTGTTAATTCAGAATAGACTGATTGAGTGGTATGAGTCCCCTCTAAAAAGTTTATAAAAGATTTTTAATAAATTATGAAAGATTTTTAATAAATTGTAAATGATTTTTAATAAATTATAAAATAAATTATAAATGGGTTTAATGGTATATAACCTATTTATAATAGAACCAGGTATCTTATTTTCTTATGAATTGCACTGCACTAGGAAAAGTATGAAACGAATCTAAAAAAATGTTGAAGGTGAGGAGTGTACAACAAATCATTATTTTTATTAATTCAGAATTGGCTGATTTAGTGGCATGAGCCCCTTCAAAAAAAATTTTATAAAAAATTTTTAATAAATTATTAATTCAAAAATCGGCTAATTGAGTGGCATGAGCTCCCTCTAAAAATTTTATAAAAGATTTTTAATAAATTATGAAAGATTTTTAATACATTATGAAAGATTTTTAATACATTATGAAAGATTTTTAATAAATTATAAAGGATTTTTAATAAGTAATAAAATAAATTATAAATAGGTTATAAGGTATATAACCTATTTATAATAGAACCAGGTATCTTATTTTCATATGAATTACATTGCACCATGAAAAGTATGAAACGAATCTAAAAAAAAATGTTGAAGGGGAGGAGTGTATAACAAATCATAATTTTTATTAATTCAGAATAGGCTGTTTGAGTGGCATGAGCACTCTCTAAAAATTTTTATAAAAGATTTTTAATAAATTATAGAAGCGTTTCGTAAGCCTAATGGAGTTTCCGCCTAGGAGTGATGAGTATGGGAACAAATATTTTATTCTATTTATACCAGTACTTGATATTTCTTAATTCGAGTGTGGAGATTTCAAATTTAAAATTAGTTTTGCTCATAAAGCTACAGATTTTTTTTAAATGACATTTTTAGTCTATTTTAGGTCTAAATGTACAAGTTTAAAAACGTTATGTATAACAGGGGACCAGAAATGCCGTCGTTAGTTGTGCTTCACTGTAATGGACTGTTCAGAAGTGCATGGTGAAACAGATCTTAAT